GTACGAATGCCGAAGTACCTTGGGACTGAGGTGGTCCTGATGCGATAGTGCACCGAGGTGAACTCGTCTCGAAGCTCGACCCGTTGCAGACTTGGTGTGTCGGACTGAGCTGTCATCCTACTAGTTAGGTCATGTCCACATGTCCCCCTATTACTAGGTCGGGCCAAATCACCCTACATCATAAGTTATATGCATATATGATAAATATCATTTTATAATATTTAAATAACAAATTTTATATTAATATATATAAAAATGTTATATATTTTTATACTATACTAGAATTAAATAAAAAATTTAATTTTAAAAAAATCATAGTTTTATAATTAACACCAGCCCCTTTATCAACAGAAAATGTGCAAGCCTGAGCCTGGCCTGACCATTGGGCCTAGATCTTGAGCCCTGCTCGACCATCAGGCCTAGGTCTTGAGCCCGAGCCCAACCCTTCTATAAAGCCCGAAGCCTGATCTATACACAAAATGTCTTACTTTCAGTATACTTTTATAAGCTAATATTATATTAATTTAATAAATTAATAAAGTAATTGATATTTCCTAATAGTAAATTGATATTTCCTAATAGTAAATTGATATTTATTAATAATTTAGGAAGCATATATATATATAACATAAATACTTTTTATATACATAATAGTATCGGGCCAGGCTTATTTGAGAAAGCTCGAGATCGAGCCCACGGGCCTAAAATTTTGTCCAAGCCTAAAAAATAACAAGTCATGCCGGAAGAGGCCATCAAGTTACCTGGCCCATGAATAGGTCTAATTGTATATATAAATGATTGTATACATAAAAATCATATGAAATAAAAATTTAAACATCTTTTTCATTTTTTTTTTAAATGGACCTCTCATAGCTTAGCTCGGTCCGTAGCTTGGCCTGGCCCAATCAGCCCAGCATGACCCGATTTACACTCTACTTGAACTTGCCCAATACTGGGGTCGGGTGGGGAAATTGATGGATTCCCCATCCTTGATGAGGAGTGGGGTGCCTTGCCCCTGAACTCGCCTGACATTGAGGTGTGGTTGCCTTGCCTTGAACCTGCCTAACACTGGGGACGAGGTGGGGATGGGGTAGAGTGTCTTGATTATGGGGCAAGGATAGGGATGGGGTGCCCCGCCCTAAACCCACCCGATTGTCATTCCTATATAATTGTTAATTATTAGTGAAGTTAATAAAAATGTTAACTTTTGTAATTATTTTTATTTATTTAAAGTTAATAAAAAATTTATTTAAAAATAATAAAAATAATAACAATTATTAAAATTACTATAAATTATTAATAGAACTAAACTTATTAAAAAATATTTGTTCATATTAAATTAACAATAATTATTTTCTATAAATCAACATTAAATAAAAATACAATTATTAAAATTTTAAATATTAACAATAACTTTGAATACTTTTAGTTAATTAACAGCAAATTTTAATTATTAATTTAATATTAATTAATAGTAAATAAAATTATTAAATCTTTCATATTTTCCCGTGCATTGCACGAGTCCCCGCTAGTATATATATGGCCCACATCACCTTGCTTCTCCTTGCTCCGTTACCCCAACCTTACATTCTCCTTTACTCTCTCTCCTCTCCCCTTCCCACCATTCCCATTTACCCATGTCATCACTTTCAACCCAACTACCTAAAGCTATTCCTAGAATCTCTCTCCTAAGGTATCTCCTCTAATTAAGCCATTAGGAACATATCATGTTACTCCACTCCCTAACCAATTCCTAAAATCTCTCCCCCCAATCTATATCTATTATTTCTCATTTAAAATATTCATATTAATTAAATAGTTTTATTACCAAAAGTTAATAAATACGTTAGTAAATTATCAAAAAATAATTATTATAATTAGCAAATTACCAAAAATTAATAAATATTGTTATTAATGAACTCATGACTTTCTAAAATATTTTCGGTAAATACTGTTATATTCGTGTTAATTAACAACGTTTTATAGAAATTGAAAACTCTTTAACTAGTTTCTATAAAATTGAGAATTATATTTAACAATTAAAAAGTATAAAATTTTAGTCATTTCTATTATTATAGTTAATAACCAAATGCAGATGGGGGAATAAAATATCATAATTTTGGAAAATGAAATTATTAATTAATGTATATAGGAAAATAAATGATAAATTAGTGTAATTTTGTTAGTAAACTACATAATAAAAAAATATTTAATAACAATTTAAAATAATTTTCAATAAATCTCCATAATTACACAATTGTAATATTTTTTTCAAAAACTTTCATAAAACTACATTTTCATAAAAAAACACTTTGGAAATTAAAAGATATAAAATTTTTGAAAGTTTACTTAAAAATGTATTAAATAATTATTGAAATATTTTGGAAAATTTAGGAAAACTCATTACATTTGATAGATTTTGGAAAACTATTGAAAAATTATGTATTTTTCATTGTAAATTATTGAAAATGATTAAAGATAAATGAGTGTGGGGAAGGGGATCGAAAATGTAATTTGAAGCAATAATTACACAAATTATTAAGATAAATTAGTATAATATTGGAAAAAGGAAATTATTGATTGGTTTATATTAGAAATATAAGATAAATTTATGAAATTCTGTAAGCAAACCATTTAAAGAGAAACTAAATTATTTAATAAAAATTTAAAAATAAATTTGAATAAATTTTCAAAATTACATCAAAATTACATAAATGTAATAACTTTTCCATTTTTTCACAAAATTACATTTAAGAAAATTTACCATGTGGTTGATACTTAGTATATCCTTTTGATCATTTTTGTCATCAAATTGAATATTGGGTTGATGGGGAGTAGGTGCCTTGCCTTGAACCCATTCAACACCAGGGGCGGGGAAAATTCAAGGATTCCTCATCATTATTGAGGAGTGGGTGCCTTACACTAAAATTGATTGACATTGAGGACGAGGTGGGGAAATTCGAGGATTTCCCTTCCCTAATGGGGAGTAGGTGCCTTGCCTGAACCTGCCCAACACTAGGGATAGGACAGGGATGGGGTGGCACACCCCATTGCCATTCCTATATAATTGTTAACTATTAGTGAAATTAATAAAAATGTTAGATTTTGTAATTATTTTTATTTATTTAAAGTCAATCAAAGTTTCATTTAAAAATAATGAAAATAATAACAATTATTAAACTTACTACAAATGGTTAATAAAATAAGTTTATTAAAAATATTTGTTCATATTAAATTAATAATAATTTTTTATAAATCAACATTAAATAAAAATAAAATTATTAAAATTTTAAATATTAACAATAACTTTGAATACTTTTAAGTAATTAATAACAAATTTTGATTATTCATTTATCAATTAATTAATAATAAATAAAATTATTCAATCTTTCATATTTTCTGTCCCCACTAGTGTTATATATATAGAGACCTTATATACCATCGTATTAGAAAATGTTTGCTATTATTCTAGTCACCATTCTCTGAAGCAAATTAGCAATTAGCCAACTACATTAACAACATTATTACTAGGCCTAACATTTGTAACCAAGAAGTCGCACAAGGGAATCCTTCCACACAAATTTTTAAGCCATCCCCCACTCTCCGATAGCTACCCTTCTTCACGATAAAAGTCAACTTCAATAAATTGGTACGAATGAATGGATAGCAATTCAATGTCAATAGGGCAGCCCAAGATTAATGACAGGCACAATTAACCTGTAATTTGGTATAATGACATAAATACCCCGAACTTTTAATTGCAACACTTGATTAGCTTATAGATATTGAAGTCCATTTATTAATATTCGGTCAGTCAAACATTATATAATGTTAAATATCCTTTTCATGTATTTTTAATATCATTCTAAGTAATCAAAAGTCTCCCTACAATAACGTTCTCACATAGATAGTAAATACATATTCAAATTTTCTGACAACAACGTTCTTGATAATGATTTTACTTTGTAGGATGATTTTAAAAATATAAAAAGGGCATTTTTAATATTATGTAATATTTAACTAATGAAATATTAACGGGTGAACCCAAATGTCTATTTTTGAAAGTTCTGGATATTCAAATATTGCAATTCAAATTTCAAATTACCTATATATCAATATCCCCAAAGTACAGGTATCTATATATAATTTACCCAAAATAAAATGATGATAGAGAACTATGCAAATTCTGTATGTATTTAGCATACCTTCCCCCAAGATGAAGTTCAGACATGGGGAAGCATTAAAATGAAACTTACTTCCCCCAAGATGTGCACACAAAAAAAAAAAAAGAGATTTGTCATTGATACGAGGGCGTTTATCAAAACATACGCTCTATCAAGTTGCGGAAGCAAGAAAGTGCAACAGGTGAAAATAATTTTCTAATAAACTTTTTCTTTTTCAGTTCATTTGTTCATTTGTTCATTCAGTAATAAACTGAGATGTTTGTTTGGGGCGCAGTCTACTTATCCCTAAATGTTTTCTCTTTTGGTAAGTGATGAACCGAAGCGTGTCATATTTGTATAGTGCATCGCTGTAGGTGAATGAGTGAATGTGAAGAGATTATCCATCGTTTCCTTTCCTGTCACACCGCATTGCGCTTTTGTTTGATTATATCCTTCTATTTCTTGACACGTGTCTTTCAAACCTTTCTTTTACTCGAAACAAAAAAGTGAGGTTTTCATCGAGTCCTCCACCTCAGAAATTTTTATGAGTTGGTGGAGCCGGTGAATACGTATGTATCTTCGTCAGAAGATTCAGGAAGATTAAAAATTCCAAAAATAAAAAAAAGAATAGAACTACTCACCCTCCTAGGCTGTGTTGGGTACTTGTCTTTTTGCCTAACTGTTGTGTTGGGTCTTGGTCGGATTCGACCAAATTACCGTTTTTTCATTGTGAAGTTAAAGAAGAAAGTGGGAACTGGGAAGGGAGAGACGGAGTCTGAACAAACCAAAACGGAAGAAATAGGAATCCTGAAGAAATAGGACTCTCTCTCTCTCTCTCTCCTTCTTCTTCTTCTTCTTCTCTCTTTCCCCTTCCATTTTATCTCTTCGTTTACGAGTCATTTCCAAATACTCGTAGTCGGCTTTTACTTGACTCAATCCGATTTCTGTTGCCGGCATGGAAGAGGCTAACGGTAAATTCCCTCTTCGAATCTTTTCTTTTCCTTTATCATTTTCGTTCTAGTTCTTGATTCGTTTATTCGATCTGATTTTCCGTCTCTCTTTTTGCATCTTTCTTTTTCTTCTGCCTGGGTATTTTACTGGTTTCATGATGCTTTTTGTCGATGTGTAGTTCTCAACAGGGGTAAGCTTTAAATCGATATTAATTGCTTTGGTGCTTTTTTTTTTTTTTTTGCTGGCTATTTCTGAAAGTATAACTTTACTCTTGTTAGAAGTTGCAACTATAGGCCATACCTGTCTTATGGGTATTCGCAAGGTTATAATTTTAGGACATTTTATGGCGTTCTTATTCTCTTGCTCTTCACCCAAAACGTGGTCTTCAGTTCCAGAGTTCTTGAAAGATATTTGTATTTCAGATGTAACTGATAGTTTCTTTGAATGAATTGGCCCTCGGGCTTTATCAAAAAAAAAAAAAAAAATTCTCTTTCTCTCACTCCCATCTCTCCGTTGGTTAAATGGATTGTTATGCTTTTTTTAGATGTAATGTAATTTTTGTAGAAAAATGTATTTGTATTTTTATTATTTTAGTCATATTCATTTTTTGCTTTTTATGTGTGTGTCTGTTTGTTTGTTTAATTTTTCGTTAATCTCCTTTTCCATTCAGTTTTGTTCTCTCATTCTTAAATATATTCCTAGGGTTGCGTAATTGGTGTTTATACGATGGATCTTCATATTCCTTGGATATCTATGTACCTTTCTGTGTATTTACTTTCTCATTTGGTTCTGAGTGGGGAACAAAAAGGCATTTGGGCAAGAGAACGGATTCTTTTACGGGAGAACCTGTAGGGGCTGCTTTGTAAGGGATAAAATGGTAGGAGGGTGCACCCAGAATGTTTAGATTGATGAGTTTAGACTGCGCTTGGTAAGAGTGCAAATGCAAACATGTTTTCTTCAGTAAAATGCAAACTTGGTTTGGTTTTGCGTTCAAAAATTTTCTATTCGTACCAAATGTATTTGGTTGTGACGAGTACAAACATGGATTTCAAGACTGGAATTTACCCGTTTTTTTACATCGACCAACTTTAAGTGCAAAAGTTTACTTCCTTTTTTATATACAAACATGTCAGGAAATACAAATTTATTGTCATTTTCAGTATACAAAAATGTTTTTACCGAATGCCTGCAAAATTGAACCTAAGAGCAAATTCTTTTTGGTTCAGTGTTTGCACACTCTTACCAAACACAACCTTAATGTCACATCATCACTGGATGGACAGAGCCAAACTTCTAAGTGTGGCCCTTGGGAGAGAAATTTGTACCTTGTAAAGTCTATTTGTAGGCCCAAGGTTGGGTGAAAACTGTGAAGAGGCAACAGTATAGACAAATATTGATGGGTCTAGGGACAGCCAGGAGGGAGCTGCTCGTGACAGGAGCATGGCTTCCCAAAGTTTTGAAAATATAGCCCTGATTAACTCAGTGATTTAAAAGGCATGCCTAGGCGCATAGGTGAGGCACATTTTAGGGTATGCGCCTCGCCTAGGTCCTAGGTGCGGCCCTTTCAAAAGGCGCACGCCTGGTGCGCCTGATGCGCAGGCGCCTTGCGCCTTCTGAAAATTTAATGCTTTTTTTTTGAACCTAGTGGCTGGGTTGGGGGCTGCACCGTCAGACCCCCATGCCACGCCCCTCGAGGCAAGCCCAAACAAGTCCATGTTAAGGTCTCAAATTCTTAATTCTCATATAAAAATAATAATTTTATAATTTTAATTGCTTTTTAAGAAGATATTTTATAATTCTTAATTTTATAAATGCCCCTCAGGGCCACCCCCTATTTTCTAATGTTGTTCATTCATTCATCCTAATAAAATATTTTCTTAAAAAGCAATTAAAATTATAAAATTATTATTTTTTATATGAGAATTAAGAATTTGAGACCCTAACATGGGCTTATTTGGGCTTGCCTTGAGGGACGTGGCACAAAGGCGGCTCATAGAATCAAGAATGTAATATGTTTTACATCACATTAGCTAGTTGAAGTAATGCAATTGAGGAAAAAAAGAGATTGTGGGTTCTACATGCTTGAAAATGTTTTATATGTTTGGTTTTATTTTTAAATTCTCATTTGAATATGCTTTACATGCTATGTTTATGTATTTTAATTTTAGATAATGGGTTTTTTGAAACATTTATTTTAAAATTTAAGTTTATATTTTTTATTAATATTGTGTTTAATATTTTTTTTGATTTTTTGGCACTTTTTATTTTTTAGCATTTTGTTTTTGTATTTTGGCGCCTTGCTTTAAAAAGGCGCACTCCTCGCCTTGCGCCTTATGCCTTGGACGCAACTTGGCCCCTGCGCCTTTTTTGTGCCTTGTGCTTTTAAAACATTGCATTAGCTGCACTTGATGGTTGGAACTTACTGAGACCATCAACATGATATTTGATTATACATTAGGAATACATTGTGACTTGGTGCTGAACTGGCACCCTAGTACACATTTTATGCCTTTAGTAGCAGGCACACAATTATTGGTATTTATACATGGTTAGGTGCACAAATGCAAATGCAAGTTGCACTTCGTATTCTGTCTCATTGGGAGGTGGAATTTTAAGACTTGGATCAAGTTCTTAGTGCTTATTTATTTGATTTTCTTTTTCTTTCTAATTTTGGAGGATGATTCACAAGTGATGATAGAGAGAAAAGAGGGACCTTGGACCTTATGATCCTTTGTTAGAGATATAAGATATTTCACCTGATTAAGATGCCATTTTAGAATTCAGATAGAATCCTAGATCCGCTTGCTAAATCAAGGGCAAAAGAGAGGTAAATAGCAATATTGTCAGTCTTGGACCATTTGCAAACCCAGAAAGGCTACTAGGCTTTGAGAATATGTGGCTTACGTCCCCATAATTTGTGCAAAATTTGAAGGATTGGTGGAGGGAGGAGGTGCCTAAGGGAAATTGGGAGGGTGTAAAATTCCATAGGAAACTACAGAAGTTGAAGTTGAAAATTAAAGAATGGAACTTAAATGTATTTAAGAGAATTGAAGAAAGTAAATCCAATTTGATAAGTCAAATTGATGATTTGGATAGTAAGGAAGAGCAAGGCACTTTGAGGGAAGGGGAAAGGAATGAGAGACTTAATATGAGAAAAGAATTGGATATGTTATTACTAAGTGAGAAATTTCATTTCTATGCTGGAGATGGAGGATGGTATAACCACTCAATAGGAGGAAATCACAAGGGCCTTTGCGAACAACTTTAAATCAATTTATAGGAGGCCAATAACTGCAAGATGGAATTTAGAAGGACTTGAAGGTCCTTTGTTGGAAGAAAGGTGGAGAATTGTTTGTTTTAGAAAAGAGATTTGAGGAAGATGAGGTTAAGGGAGCTATTTTCTCTATGGATCAATCAAAAGCTCCTGGCCCGGATGGCTTCACCATGGCTTTCTACCAAGATGCTTAGGAATGGATTAAGGAGGATCTTATGGAAATGTTTGAGGAGTTCTATTAGGGATTATTAACCAAGGTGTTAATGCCACATTTATTGCTTTGATCCCTAAGAAACTAGGCACTAGTCATCCTAAGGATTTGGGGCCAATCAGTTTGGTAACAAGCCCCTACAAAATATTGGCTAAAGTGCTATCTCTATGGTTGAAAAGGGCTCTTCCTTCAATCATTTCTCATTTCCATGGGGCTTTCATTCAGGAGAGGTAAATTAGTGATCAAATTCTTATTGCCAATGAATGCGTTGAGGACTTTAAAAAGTCAAGCAGGAAAGGAATTGTGTGTAAATTGGACTTAGAGAAGGCCTATGATTATGTGGATTGGGAGTTCTTGCTTGAACATGAGATTTTAGTGCAAGATGGTGTAAATGGATAAGAGGGTGCTTGGAGACGTGCCACTTTTCGGTGTTGGTGAATGGAAGAGTGGAGGTTTTCTTTAGTGCCCTAAGGGGAATGAGGCAAGGGGACCCACTTTCCCCTTTTTTTACTCTCATTGCAGAGGTGTTTAGTAGATTGATCTTGAAAGTGGATGAAGGAGGGCTAATAAAGATGGAGGATAGGAAGAGATAGGGTTAGGGTGACTCATCTACAATTTGCAGACAACATCATAATTTTTTGTGAAAATGGGGGAGAGTAATGCAAGGAATTTGAGATTGTTGGTGAATCTTTTTGAGAGAATGACAAATTTAAAGGTAAACCTTAGCAAGAGTTTGGTTGTTGGAGTCAATATTAGTCAATCTAAGACTGAAATTTGGGCTAGAGAGTTAGGGTATAATTCAGCAGGTGGCCATTGAAATATTTGGGGCTTCCTTGGCTTCCTTTGGGAGTGAATCCTAGAGCATCATCTTTTTGGGACTTGATGGTGGAGAAATTTGAAAGGAAATCATCGGGATGGAAGAGAAACTACATCTTCTTGGGAGGTAGGATAACTCTTATTAAATACACATTGGCTAATCTTCCAATTTACACATTGGCTAATCTTCGACTAGTCTTCCAATTTACTATCTTTCAGTCTTTTGCATGCCTCGGGTCATAGTGAAAAAATTTGAGAAAATAATGAGGGACTTTGTTTGGGAACCTGGGAAGGATAAGAAAGAACACTTAATCAGATGGGAGTTGGTGTATAGAAGTAAAGAGTATGGTGGTCTTGGGCTGGGAAGATTAAAAAGAAAAGAACTGGGCTCTTTTGGGGAAATGGCTTTGGAGGTTTCAAGGGAGACAGACAAACTTTGGCATAGAATGGTTGTGAGCATTCATGGGCTTTCAGAGAATGGTTGGGATGCTGGAATTTCTAACAGTGCCTCCAGTATCTCCTTAGAAGGCTATTCACAATTTTTTTTTTTGATCAATAAGGGCTATTCACAAAATTCATCCACACTTTTTGTCTCACACCAGGTATGATATCAATTCAGGGAACAAAATCAAATTTTGGGAGAACCTATGGTTAGGGGAAACTCCTTTAATGGAGTCTTTTCCTTCCTTGTTTGCTATTTCATCTTTCAAAGGCAGACCTATATCTGAGTTTTTAGTTCATTCCCCTTCTCAGTCTGGAGTTGGATGGAATTTGGGTTTCCGTAGGAATGTGCTTGTGTCACAATTGCTTCTTTTGTTGGATGGTGTTTTCCTAGATAATAGCAGAGTAGATAGCTGTTTATGGATGGGTAATTCCTTCGGAATCTTCACTTGTGCTTCCTTTTTGAAATTGTTGGTTTCCCCTTAGCCGATCATTTTGCTAAGCAAGGGGTCAATAGAGGGAATTGTTTTTGGGCTCATTTGTAACTGTTAGAAATAGTGTCTTATTGTCTTGAGATCATGGGGTAGCCGAGTTGCAACTCTTATTTCTAATTAATAAAAGATTTTTCTGTTGTTGATAAAAAAATTACATATATAAGTTGTGTCTGTTTCTGGTTTTCATACAAGTGACTGAGGTTCAAGTCTTGTAAAGCATGGCTTTTCAATATATATAGTCTTGTAGCATAATTATAATATCCTAAGTGTAAGGTTCCAATTTCAAGTTCCTCTTTTTGTCATTTTCGAAATTATGATAAAGCAATGACCTTGTCAGGTCATTCAAAACTGTTTCACTTACCAAAGCCCAAACAACTTTCATTCAACAATTTGTCCAAGTCAATGGTGGGTCTCCCAGTTTTTCAAAAATTTGAAAACTAGGGTTCTAAAAAGTAAAAACCAGAATGGTCACCACGTTCCCAGTTCTGATGGTTCAATTATCAGGTCTCACCCAAGTCTCAACACTGATAATAGAGAATTTTCGCACATTTATCCTGCTGCCACAGAGCAGTAGTTGGATGATTGAATATATTTTTGTATTGGCGTAAGGGGTGCTTGACTGGGGCAAGGGTCAAATGATTTTGCTAAGAAGATTATTGTACATATTGTTTCTATCCTTGATAAAATGTTTTCTTGTTGCCAATTAAGAAAGGGCCATTGCCTAATGATGGTCCTGGCCATCCAGTGTCTTGGGAGGGGTAAGACCGGATGTGGACCTAACCTTTGTCATTCTTTTTTTGGCACAAAGTGTCTGTTCTCAAACCTGAAGCCATGTTATCATTATTGTGAGCTCAAGATTTTACCGTTGCACTAAGCAATGTTCCCTTTCTTGTTTTTCTTACTTTTTTTTTCCAGTTTACTGGTGTGATTACAGTGGCAATTCAATGTCATTATAATTTTAAATTAGCTGATTATGCCAATCTGTTTTAAGCTTATAGAAATGGGAATTGTTGACTTATTTGTGTTATCCCTTCTGTTTTCTTGTTTTATTTTCCCCAGTGGTGGAAGCCAGGGATGGAACCATTTCTGTAGCTTCTGCATTTTCTGGTCATCAAGAAGGTAATGGTGGAACCTTTTTATCACCTTCTTCTATCACATTGTATTCAAATTTTGTTTTATTTCATCGGAAAAGGAAATGATTGGTATTGATACACAAGATTAACAAATATTACAACTTTAAAGTCAATCCCTTTCATTTTTTCTTCTTTTTATATTTTGGAGGGATACTTGCATACTACTTGTTGTAAAAGTCCAATGACCCTAGTGATAGACCATGGTGTGGTCTCTCCAAAAATTTTCTATGCCAAAACCAACAATCAAATGATCCATCCATTCTATGGATCCTTTATTATTCTGTTGGATTACTAGCCTTTTTTTCTTCTATCTTAAAAATTGGATGACTATAATTATGCCATTAAATTATTTTTCTACCAGCAGTATTTGATGAACCAAGCCCAATCCTGCACAGCAAGGTATTGTATTAAAATCAAAAAGACTTGCATCCCCAATCCTGCACAGCAAGAAGCTGTGCCTTCACCAAGCCCATCTATACAAAAAGTAATTTAATGGTATATAGATATGGAGTAATCATGCTTATGGTTTACCTTTTGGTATCTAAAATTTCTACTTGTAAATGGTTAAAGCTAGTTAAACTGGACATATGTTGTTACATATCGGTAAGCATCATACTTTTCTTTCTTGTTTTGGTCAACCAGCTGTACAGGATCGTGATCACAAATTTTTGTCAAGAGCAATTGAGGAAGCATACAAGGGGGTAGAGTGTGGTGATGGAGGCCCTTTTGGTGCAGTTGTTGTTCGTAATGATGAAGTAGTTGTGAGTTGTCACAACATGGTTTTGAAACACACAGACCCTACTGCCCATGCTGAAGTAACTGCTGTAAGAGAGGTTAGGCCAAAAACCAAGGAAAAAGCATTAGCTATGTGATTTATTTAGGTTTGTGGTAAATGTTATTATTCCATTTAACTCAATGATGAAGTTATACCAAGAGCTTTGCAGTAAGACCTGTCTTACAAGAAGTGAGCACTTCCCAGCAAATGGGTTCTGCATTGGAGATCTATTATCAGAAGTGATCCGATTACCTAGACTGCAGTCGAAGTTGCATTATTTTGGTAGATGCTATAAGCGTTCCGTTCCCAAAATAAACTCCATGTAGTCAATGGTTACAATTATTTGATAAGCTGAATGTTGGTAGAAGAGACTTAGGTGGGGATTCATTCAATTTGTGTGAACACTGTCCCAGGTTCCATTAAAGGCAGAAAAGGGAGAGGGAGACTGCATTCCAAATATCTCCTGGTTCACAAGAAGTGAGCATGTCCAATTTGATGGATTCCACCTTCAATATCTCCTACATCAGAACAGAGTCAGCAGACCTGATTATATAATTTAGTTTCTGATTGAATACATTATTTGGGCAGGTGGAAAAATCTTTTCAATTCCCAAAATAAAATCTAAATAAAGGGTGGTACAACTATTTGATTAACTATATGTTGGTATGGGAATCATACAAAGGATCTATCTATTGTGTGCTTCCCCCTCACACAGTCAATAGGGTTGAGGGGGAATAATGCATGCCTAATATAACTACAGGTCAGTGGCTAGGGCCTTGAAACCTTCCTTTCCATAATTTTTTATATTAAAATATTGTGGTTCTGCTGCTAAAATACACTTGTTGTTTTTCCTGTTCCCTCCCCAATGTGCTGGTTAAATATTTCACCTTTTGTAAATGTGTTGAAGATCATTATACTTTGTCTGTATTCTCCTAGGCCTGGAACAAGGGGAACTGCTTTTAGCATTATTTTAATTATTTGGAAAATCCAGATAAATTTCTTGAGCATGGGAGAAAAGTTTTGTGTTCAAAGTGCTGACTGCTTTAATTAGCATCTAGATTTTACTGCCATATTGGTTTTCTTAAGAGTTCCATTTGTACCCTATGGGGTGTATTGACCTTTCTTTTAAATCTTATGGGAGTTTCCTTTTGGCTATAAACCTGTTTTCAATTGAGTGCACACTCATCCAATAATGACCACGTAGAAAGTTTTGATGAAGACATTGCCATTTTGGTGCAAAGTTAGCTTTCCTGGGTGGTTCCTATGATATTATCCATTTTTCCCCTAGCCTACATTGAATTTTTTCTCTAGAATCTAGATGCCTATTTGGGGAATTGAAAGACCTAACATAGTGAGGGGACCATTTTGTTTTGTTTGTGATAATATTAAGAATGAGTTTAATTAGTTCAACATTGCACTTAAATTAGTTCATTTTCATGTAAGGATGTGATTTTATGACAAGCTTATTTATATGGACATTTTAAGCTTTTTGATAAATGAATGCATTTATATCTTCCATTTTGATATGAAATGTGATTCCTTTCTGATGAACTTGTAGGCGTTTTGACTGTAATGAGGTTATTTGTATGCAGTTTAATGAACATGATATTTCTAGGAAAGTAGTTATTATAGATCCAAGAAAATGGCTGATTTTAGGAGAAGGTAGGTGTTAGAAAGTTCCAACTTCCAATTTCCAAGTAGATTCAAATATGGACATGAAAAGCCTAATTATGCTTTAAGGCTGTTCTATCTTTTGGAGTTTTTGGGAGCTAAACAATAAGGTTAGTAACTGTTTTGCAGGCACAAATAGTAAGATTATGGTGAATAACTCTACCATCAAGAGTTGTGTATTTATTGCATTGAGAATTTGCAACGAACATTCTAGGGCTCTTGTAGCCTCTCAAATGTGGTCATGGGTAAGATATTTTTTTTGAAGGCAAGGTAAAAAAATTTATTGATGAAAGATGAAAATGTTACAACTTCCTGGAGCCCCACACACAGGAAGAAGACATTACAAACTCCAAATAGACCGAGTACAAAGCAACTGGAAGTCTGGAACAGATTCTGAGATTTAAACTTAGGGGTAACAGACATCCAAGAAGCAAGTTTAGAACTGCAGCCTGAATTAACTCCTCCGGATTCTCACTTTGTTGCAGAAAATCCTGTTGTTTCTTTCAGTCCATAAAGTCACTAAAACAGCCACAGGAATGGTTCTCCAGATCAGATTACCCTTTTTCTTCAGACCAGGTGATTTCCAGCAGTATAAAAGGTCCTTGGCAGAGCCAGGCATAACCCAGCAAACCCCAGCCACCTTGAGAAAGTGCTACCAAACTCTTGCAAAGATCGAACAATGGATGCCAAGGTGATTAACCGTCTCTTGCAAGAGCCCACATAGGCCACAGTTAAGATCTGAAATCTGAACCCCTCTCCTAACCAAGTTAGCTCTCGACAAGTACTTATTTAGTGTCATCATCCAAACCAGAAAATTATGCTTAGATGGGCTGACAGAATTCCACACCTGCTTACTTGGGAAATCAGAAATATTTGTTCTACTCAGTTTTGATGCCAAGGATTTAACAGTAAAAGCACCATCACCATTCCATCTCCACCTCCACTCATCCTCCAGATTAACAGAGATAGATTGCCTCTGTAACAGTTGCAGAAGGTCCAACAGCTGGTCCATCTCCCAATCAAAAAGATTTCGTCGGAAGAGGGGGCACCAGGAGATTAAGTCCCCAACCACATTGTAGGAGTCAGCAACTGGGGCCTCAGGACTAAGGGCACATTGAAAGAGAAGAGGAAAGGCTACAGCAAGAGGAATGTCTAAACACCAGGAGTCCTTCCAAAAGTTCAACCTATCTCCCCTACCAATCTTGAGAGCTAAGCCATCAGAGAAAGCTGGAAAGGATTTCATAATTCCTTTCCAAAGGGAGCACCCCCATCTCTGAAAAGGATCTAAAGATTTCCAATTACCCCAGTCCACTCCATATTTAGATGCAACTAGGGACCTCCACCAGGCATTCCTTTCAACACCAAAGCTCTAAAGCCATTTGCTGAGAAGAGAAGAGTTAAATACCTTCAACTTCCTTATGCCCAAGCCTCCGTCCTCCATAGGGAGGCAAACCTGATCCCACTTAACAAGATGGATTTTTCTTTCTTCCTCCCAACCTATCCACAGAAAATTTCTCTGAAAGGGACTCCAGCTTCTTTGCAATTTTGGATGCGATGGGAAAGAGGGATAAGAAATAGGTGGGTAGGTTTGAAAGAGTACTTTTTAGGAGAGTAACTCTACCCCCGAGGAAAGATACTTATCGTCAGCATAGTCACATGTAGTGGTCAAGGGAGAGAGAATTTCCTGTCATGCAAATTTAGAACTATCACATACTGTTCAACATTGGAATATGCAAAGCTTCATGATATGTAAATGAAGGGATTCGTGAGATACATATACATTGTCAGTTCTAATCTGGCATTTGTTACTTTGAACTGGCAGAGATTGATTCAAGATGCAATTGAAAGGGCAATACTAGAACTCCCATTGTTTAAAACCAACCAATGTTTCAAATAAGATCAAATAGATCAATTATTGTAAATGTAGAATATAAAATACTCTGAAGCATAAACTTCGAGTCCTATGGGATTGGAATTAGTATAAATTTAAGAAAATCTCTTCAAGACAAAAATCTAGGCATAGATGGATAAAGGAAGGGGATGGGAACACCAGATTTTTCCATGAAATGGCAAGATGCAGGAGGAAGAATCATGTATCTTCTTTGGAAATAGATGGCATAGTGATTAATCAAAGAGAAGGGATTGAAAAGGCTTTTGTGCAACATTTTAAATCTATCCATAGGAGGCCTTTGAATAGTAGACTTGTGCTTAAGGGACTGGAATGGTCTTTTTCCTTAATTGGGGATCTAAGGAACTTTCTTGAGAATGATTTTGAGCTGGAAGAGGTAAAGGAGGCGATCTTTTCCATGAACTGATCAAAAGCACATGACCTTGATGGATTTACAATGGCATTTTACCAAGATTGTTGGGATATTTTAAAAGATGATTTAATGGAGGCCTTTGGTGAATTCTTTGAAGGGGGTATTTTAAATCCTGGAATAAATACTACTTAGTAGTGATTGCTAAAAGGACTGGGCTAATCACCCAAAGGCTTTAGACTATTCAATTTGATAACCAGCCTGTATAAGATCGTTGCCAAGGTGTTTTCCGTGAGACTTGGGAAGGTGTTGTCCTATATCAGTACACAAAATCATGGAGCTTTTGTGTAAGGCAGACAAATTGCTAATCAAATCCTTATTGATAATGAGTGTGTGGAAGACTTTAAAAGGTCTAGAAGGAAAGGTGTCATCTGTAAACTAAACATTGAAAAACCATATGATCTGGTTGATCAGGTGCTTCTGCTCGAAACACTTCATTTTTGTGGTTGTGGTGAGAGATGGCACAAATGGGTTAGAGGGTGTTTCCAGTCTCAGCTTTCGCCAATTGGCTGGTTGTAGACTTCTTTCCTGCTCATACAGGACTTGGGAAAGGATACCCTCTTCCACCCTCATTACGGATGTATTTAGTAGAATGATTTTAATTGCAGATAGGTTGCATTTAATCAAAGGATGGAGAATGGGGAAAGAAAGGGTTGTGGTTACACGTTTGCAATTTGCAAATGTTATCATTCTATTCTATGATGTGGGAGACACTCAATGGATCAGGAACTTGAAACTTGTAGTGGAGTTGTTTGAGCAGATCTTAAACCTCAAGATATGTCTTGGTAAAAGTTGTATAGCCAGAATTAATTTGGAGGAGAGGGAGTTAAGGGAGTTTGTGGATATCCTAGAATGCTTAGCTTCTTCCTAGCCAATGAATCTCTTGGGTGGCCCTTTGGAGCTAACTCTAAGGACCATTATTTTTGGAACCCAGTGTTAGATTTTCTAAGAGACAGCAGTGTAGAAGAGAGGCTATATATCCTTGGGGAGTAGAATAACCTTGATTAAGTCCATGTTGTCCAACCTTCTTGTGTATTATTTGTTGGTGCTTAGGATCCCACAAAAATAGGGTAAGGAAATTGAAAAGATAATGAGGGATCAGTTGTGGGATTCAGGGGAATTAGAAAAAGATCAGCTGATTAAATGGGATGTGGTAAGTCTAAAGTGTAGTGTGGCTTGAGTGTTGGAGGGAAAGAAAGAAAAACTTCTCACTTCTCAGTAAGTGGCTTTGGAGATTACCTGTGGATAAAGAGAGACCCTAGCATAAGGTGATAATCAGCATACATGGTCAATTGTGGACAATGGATGGGATACAGGAGTGGCTGCTAGGGCCAAAAGGAGCTCCCCCTTGGAAAGCCATCAATGCAATTCTTCCTCAGTTCTTTCATTTTGTAAGGTATGATGTTTGCATCGGTAATCAAGTTAAATTTTGAGAACACATTTGGCAGGGATAAATCCCTTTGAAAGATAAATTTCCTACTCTATTTGCCTTATCCAACTTCAAGGGGAGCCTGTTTCAAAATTCGTTCTTTCAAACTCAAGCAATGGTTGAGTGGGACTTGGGCTTTAGGAGAGGGCTAAGGATTCCTGTGGTGTTTGACCTCTTGAATCTTTTTTTTTTTGATCAATAACAGTGAAATTTTATTAATGATATATAAAATCAGAATTACAAGGGAGGGAGCTAAAAAGTCTTAACTCCCAGCTACCCAAAAAAATCCCGACCATGCAGTGATTACAAAACAGCCCAAAATATAGTATCTCTGTCTACCCCTTGCCTAGCTAGACCATCAGCCAATGCATTTGCACTTGTCTTTATCCATGTACAGTGAATTTCCATGTCCTTGGTTAGCCACTTAAACTTGCTCTTTTCATTGCTGTATTTCCAAATCATAGAACTGTCCTCTTTTAGCCAATTCACCACGGTTTCAGAATCACCTTCTATAATCACCTTTTTGATATTCATTTCCTTGACCCTTTGTATCCCTTCAATAGCTCCTAAAATCTCAGCCCTCAAGGAGTCTCCCACCCCAATTGGCCCAGAGTACATAGCTAACAAGTTCCCTTGAATCTTCTTAATGGTGTTGTTTTGGACCATGGGGTCATGGCCCTAAGGTCAAACAGGCAAGGCAAAACCTGTTTACATCAGATGGTCTTTATCATTTACCATGTAGAGATCCTTGTATATAGTATAGTTCACCCTTTTTTGCTATAGCATTTTGATGCAAACTTGATTTATTAAAAGAGGGAAAGTCTCTCTCTCTCTCTCTCTCTCTCTCTCTCTCTTCCGCTGCTTTATAATTCTTTTTAGGTTTTAGAAAACATTGTCACTAAAACTCTTATAACTTTTTACACAAAATAAATCCTTACAGAAATTGTTAGTTTTACATACTTCCTATCAGTATAACTTAGGCTCAGTTTGGGAGGAGTGCAAATACAAGTATGTACCATGCAAAACCTTATATACAGTATTTCTAAACCTTATATACAAGTATCTTTCCAAACTGAGTCTTGAGTGCATTCAATGTGCTTGTTTATATCTTCTTAATTATTTGTAGGAAAGATACTTGGAATCAGTTTTCCTCAGTGCTTCCCTAAGGTAACTGTTATCTTTCATCATATGGTTATGTGACTCAGACAGATGTGGTACTTTCAAGATGATTTTTGAAAGATGCAGGGATAGTTAATAGTCAAACTGAACTATTTTGTTACACTTCTCTGCTCTTTGAAGTGAAATGCTCTCACCTCATGTGATCATCACATTGGGTGCTAGCTGGTAATATGTTAAGATGAAAATAATGTTAGAGGTTTTCCTTCTTAAGTTTTGTTTGTGGGAGAATCCATAATGAGGATATTCATGTTTCAAGCTTGTCATTAACTGGCTAAGTGTGGAGCTGAGGTACCTTGGGCCTTATGGTTTCTGGCTAGACATGCACAAGAACCTGGAAATTGAAAGAAATCTGAATTGCTTGTTCAGTTGGACTCCCAGATAAGCTACAGCAGATTCCCTTGTCAAGGGATGGAATTTCTAGGGAAAACTTATGTTGAGGTGGGCCTAGACTAGGAAGATCATGTAAGATGAAAGATGAGTGGTCAGATTCAGCCTTCATGTTGTTTCTGTTTGTAGGATAGCATCTCGTACAATTGGAATTTAATGAATCTTTGATTACTGTTGCTTACCAAAAACCATCTAGGTAGGTTCTTAGTAGTTCACAATATAGTATGAACACGTGAATTGGGTCAAATGGGTAATCAAAGACGACCAGAAGCCTTGGTTGTGGCCTTAAATCACACTCGAGAGAGGCACTTGCTTAATATCTCACTCAATAGGAAAGTTAGTGATAGAAAGGATAATAAACTTCTCATATTTTTGAATGACCTTAATTCTTCATGAATACTTGTTTCCTTGGAAGTTTTATAATCTGTCTGTCATCTCTTAAATGTGTAATTCTTACATATGGTAGAAAAATCAGAATTCAATCCATCTATCTCTATACATGCCAAAACACTGGTTTAGTTTCTGTACATGGGTAGATAAGGTGAAGGGGCTCTTTGGTTCTGCTATATTGCCAGTTACCTTGTTATATGCTGAATTTTTGCCAAAAGGAACTCTGCCACATGACAAACTGAAGCAAGTGGACAAGGGATCTCTAAACAGCCTCGAGCTCAACATATTCAATAAAACCAGAAGCAACTAGTCCAGGACAAGTTGGGGATCTCTGACTGCAATTTTTAGTATAGAATATAGATTGTCATTAATAATGACTATTCACATGTTACCTATCATTACTCGGTGCAATGGTAAAATCCCTGGCTGAGAAGTGTGAGAATAAGGGTTTGAGTTTGAGAGCAGCCACTTTATTAAAGATGCAGGAGGTTAGGTCTTTTTCTAGTCCACCGCTCCATAGACTTGGACTGGCATTGGGTAACGGCATGTAGGAGATGAATCTAGTTAAGCTGATATATCATAGGGTGTTTCTGAAGTTGTTTCTATCCACCTTTTTTTTATAGCTATGGCATTGATTGTAGAGTTTTCCCTCCATCTATTCTTACACTAAGATAATAATTTTTGGAGGAAATTAAAGGCATTGAAATGCGAGTCTGACAACTTGCTGCAAGCAATAGCCTTTTACATGAACGCCATATATCTTTGGCTGCAGGGCCCGTAGGTTCATTACAGACCCTGAGATCTGGTTGGGTTTTGGCAGTGACAAGTCCTGCATGTTCATATGAAGGGTTTAACTTTTTTCAAGTCAAGAATCCAAATTTGTATTAGATCTATTTTCTCCTTGAGTCCAATAACAAGCTATTATACCTATTCCATATGCAAACCGTACGAGCGTCTAAGGTTTTATATGGGTATTTGCTGATACATTTGGAATGTGTAAGGCGCACAAAGTTGCGAATATTTCATCTTATGGATCTCTAATGTGCAAAAAGTCTCCCTGTTTAGGCATGCAAAAAGCTCAACAAAATTGAGCTGCCCGACTGTGAGATGTATGCGTCTTGCGAGCCTTGTCCAATGTGCTTTGGAGCAATTCACCTTTCGCGAATCAAGGTCAAAGTGTTGTTCCATTTTCTATTCCTGTTAAAAGCACAACATTTTAGGTTGGTTCCCCTAACATGGGTTTTCCCAATTTTTGCTCATATGAATGATGCAGAGGCTGGTCTACGGTGCCAAAGCTGAAGCTGCCATTGCCATTGGGTTTGATGATTTCATTGCTGATGCATTAAGGGGTACTGGATTCTACCAGAAGGCCCATTTAGAAATAAAAAGAGCCGATGGTAACGGTGCCATCATTGCTGAACAAGTCTTTGAGAAGACCAAGGCCAAGTTTCAAATGTACTGAATTCCTGAATCTCCTTTTGAACTGCATGGAGGTGGACTGCCTTATTATTAAACTTGCATTTATTTCTGTTTTCTTTTGCCACTGAAAAACTCCCATTGTTCAAGATCAATAATATGTGTCTACTCTCAGGAACCTACCTAGTAATAACAATAAAAAATTTCAAAATAATATTATTATATAAAACCTAATAACCAGATAAACAAGTTGAACAGGTCAGTGGTTCAGCCGTCAGGCCAATATATCAATGATCGATTTTTTTAATATAATTTATAGGTGAATTGAACAAAGCTGTGACTGGGTTGCTGGTCTGACCGGCAACAGTGTCAATTCATTGTGATAATTGACAAGGCAGCAAGTTGAAATTGTAAATCAATGCAATGGGATGGGCCTGGAGCTAGATCAGGGAAAATTCAATCTTACACACGAAAATTTCTAAACCCAATCTCGATTGGAATGTCGGGTGGTGGGGTGGGGGTTTAGTGGCCAACTGGTTAAGAACTCTAAACATGCTTACCCACAAAACAGTACCTGGGAACATTTCCCGTGCATGATATGTAAAAACAGTACCTGGGTACATTTCCCGTGCATAATAACATGCAAGAGGATAAGATGTTTCCCATGTGTGGTTGCAATTTTATGTGGTTAAGTGTGGGTAGGAAATCATGACTTGGGCTACCCACTTTACAGTTGTATATCTCCATGAGAAAAAAGGTTGTTGAAGGAGTACAAATACAAATATGTAGAGTGCAAAACCTTCTATTTGTCCATTCTGCTCTGATAATATGGATGGTATCCTCATTCTCTCTTTGTCCTCTTGTGATGGATTGTTGAACTTGGTAAAGGGCGAGGCTATGTTGAATCATCTTTTGAGTTCTCTCTTTGTCTCCAATTCTAAGTGTACTCTATTTTGTTTACTGTTATTATCATGAAGTACCTAGTAGACTTAGAATTGAACCATGTTATTTGGACTAAAGTATATCTGATTCAATCCATTCGCAGCCTCACTTGAAAGATCGGGTCCCAAATTTACCATTTTTCAGGAGAATCCATCGATCTTGATGAAATAAATAAGGCTCAGTTTGGGAAGAGTGCAATTGTAAATATGTTCAGTGCAAAACCTTGTATTTGCACTGTACATATTTATATTTGTACTCTTCCCAAACTGAGCCTAAATTTTATCGGTGACCTATTTGAGAACAATTTCAATAGTAACATCTCTAATATATCACGTGGCCATGAATTTGACTATATCAAAGCACAGGTAATTCATTAGTAGGTGACAAATAACTGTTATGGTTCTAAAAGCTACTTACATAGGTATTTGAAGGAATTTTAATCAAGTCAACATTTATAAGAACTGGATAGATCAATACCATTTTGGATGCACTGAACATGTTCACCATGCCTATCACAAAAAAAAAAAAAAAGAGTTTGTTAGGTTATTGAGGAAATTGTCACCAAGAGCTTTATACAAATGCAATTGTGAAACACCACATTATTGGCACCTTATTGCATTACTCTCTTATTTATCCCAAGCCCATTTAAACTTGTGTCCTCTCAATTTTGCCAACCCGTCCTGTCTCTTCCAAACCGATTATAATACCATATGTTATAATATGTAACATATGTGAGACTTTAAGTCTTATAAGGAAACTCTATCAAATGTTCATCAAAAACTGAAAAAAAATGAACCAAACCAAGGAAATCAAACTGAAAAGTCTTTTGGTTTCGATTAACCTAAAAATTCAATTGTTAACTGAACGGACAAGTACATATATATTTTTAGTATGTTATATATTTATATATTCATCTATAATATATATTATAATATTATAAAAAATCAAAGAAGCGAATCGATGAAAAACTGAATCAATCAATTAGTTAACCAATTAGTTTGGTTCTCAATATTGCAAAACCGGAGGAATTGGTTGGGTACCAACAATTTGCCCATGGTTTGGTCAACCAAACTATGAGCACCCCTATCAAATTCTAAAGCACTTGTCTTTTTTTTTTTCTGCTTTAATTTTGACATCATATGGTGTTAGGGGCTGGGGGATGAAGTTTGCCTATGCTTGTCCTCCATATCCTAAGGTCATAACCCCCAACCCTATTCCTCGTGAGAGTTGAATTTGATCCAAAGCACTTAAGAGTTAAGACTCATTTCAAATTGGATTTGAATTTGAATTTTGACAAATAAGCACCATTTGAATTATTAATTATAGTAATAAAATTTAAAAAATAATTATAAATATTTAAAAATCATTAATAATGCTTGGATTGGACTTGAATTTACCCTAACCAATTGACTCTTAATCTAAATTTAGACAAATAGATACCATTTGAAATCCCAAATCCTAATAATATTAATTTAAAGTCCATTTGAATTTAGAAATAATTACATCAATAAATTTTTAAAATTAATTGATAAAAAATAAAACTCAGAGACAATTATTTCATCTAGAAATATTGCTTGGAGTGGACTTAAACTTGCCCAAGCCAATTGAATCTTAATTTGAATTTAGACAAATAGATACCATTTGTATTTTGCAATCTTAAATCCTAATTATATTAATTTAAAATCCATTAAATATAATTTTAATTATGTCAGTAAAATTTTAAAACTAACTAATAAAAATTTAAATTTCATAAAAAAGTAACTCACTTAGAAGTATTGCTTGGATTGGACTTGAACCTAACCAGATGCCCCAAACTTGCAAATTAACCAATTAATAATGTCATAGGCCATAGGGCTCCTCCTAGGTTCTACTTAATTAATTTCTATAAACATATTATATATTATAAATTGTTTTATACTATATATTATATTAGGTTATATTATATTTTTATTTTTCATTTAATATTGATTTATAAAAAATGATTATTGTTAATTTAATATGAACAATAATTATTGATACTTTTCTATTAAATAACAAAATAAAAATAGATTTATAAATAATTATTGAAAGCATATTTATAAAAAACAATAAACAATTACTGAAAATAAAAAATATTAATTATAGTATATATAAATATATAATGAATATACACTATTATTGTAAAATTATTACTAATAAATATAATTTTTGTTGATAGTTATTTTCTATAATTATAATTGTACTATTATTACAATAAATTATTATTAATATGAATATTATGAATTCTATTATAATTATTTTTCTACTTTTAAGATTTGTTTTTTAAAATTTATTACATAATTTCGTTATTTTAACTATTTAAAATTTTTTTATGTTAAATATTTTTTTATTTGAATATTTAAATAATATGTAAAATATTTAAAATTTTTCATTATTTGAATTTTATTTATTTTAATGTTATTACATGATATTAAATATTTTTTTTATATTACTTAGCTATTTTAATGTTTTTCTATTTTAGATTTTAGTTATTGAAATATTTAAATAATGTTTTATTTTTGAATAACATTTAAATTGAATAATTCGTAAAATTATAATTTATATTGCTACTACATAATTTCATGATGAATTTTGTAAAAATATTGAATTATTAATAATATGAATATTATTAATTCTATTAATTGTTTTTTTTTTTGTGTTTTGAATAGATATTTTAAATTTAGTATATAATTTCATTATAAGGTTTAAATAGTTCTGATTTTTTTTAATTGAAACTTTCTTTAGATAGATGTAGATAAAAAGTGGGGGAAAGGATAAATAGGAATTACAGATAGTTTAGGAGAGAATCTCTCTACTAAATTAGAGATAATTTAAGAGATACATAGGAGTTAGAGATAATTTAAGAGATAAATAGGAATTAGAGACAATTTAGGAGGAAGTGGGGGAAAGTGGTGCCACTTGGCTAAACATTAGAAAAGCAAATCCCTCTTTCTTTATGGTTGTTAGAAATAGTTAAGCATATGTGATTTCCTTATTGGTTTAATGGGCAATTATGTGGAATTAAAAAATAAAAAATTCAAAAAACAGAAAATTACGAAGGGGGTTTGAAGCAAGAAGAGGTATGGTGAAGTCAAAACCAAAACCTGTCCCAAACCCTATAGGGTTTTAATCTAAAATCTCAAACCCGTCCCAAGCCCTATAAGGGTTTTATAAACGAGTCCTGTTAGGGTCGGGATGGATCGGATACCAAAAAATTTTCATGAAATTACCATCTCTAAGAGAGAGAGAGAGAGAGAGAGAGGAAACAACTAGAATGGATAACTCCATTGTTGATTCACATTTGTACATGGTTCTTTTCAGTGTAAATACGGACAGATGTAAAACTCCACACTTGGTTTGTATTTTTGTGTATTTGTTTTCAGTGTAAGGTTTCCCATTGGTTCACTTTTCCATTGATAATCAATGTAGATGTACATTGATGTATTATTTACATCAATTATCACATAAAAAAAGCTCTAACGGTCCACTAAAATTTTAAACCCACCGATTGAGTTTTACATTGATGAATTTTCAACTGAAAACAAACACAACTTTATGGGTCTATGAAACATTATCTATTCCTTTTCAGCCTATAAAAGTATGGTCAAGTCAAGGTGGTTACTTGGCATCCCTTTCTTTGAGGAGGCAGCTGGAACCAGTGGAAAGCAAGCTCTCAGCTCTCTACGTTGTGTATGCTTAGTGGTCCTTGTGTGCATCCTTGCTACCCAAACTAGAACAAAATTACGAGACTTAAATTGAAGAAGTAAATTGTTGATTCATATTTCTGAGTTTATAGAGGTTTATATATAGATGTAAAGAATTCAAAAGTTCAAAATCAAATGTACAGATAACTGATAAGTACAATAAGATAATAGTTATCGAGTGTAGTTAAGTATACAAATAACTATTGATTAGTGTTATCCAACTGATGACGTGGATGGAATGCGGTTATCTCTAGTATCCCCCCTCAAGCTGGACAAGGGTGGACCAATGGTCAGCTTGTCCTTGAGATGAGTAAACCGGGTAGAGGGAAGTGGTTTAGTGAGTAAGTCAACAAGTTGGTCATTGTTGGGAACATAGTGTATAGAGAGGAGCTTCTTAGAAACCATGTCTCTAACAAAATGAACATCAAGTTCAATGTGTTTGGTGCGATCATGATGGATAGGATTGTACGCTAAGGACTTGGCACTCATGTTATCATACCAAACAGTGGCGGGG